TCTCTCTTCCATCCCTTTATCCCAACCACCATAAATTTTCGTCGAAGACCACCACATATGTCGTCGCTACGATGACTCCGTCGTCCCTACAATGCGACGTCGTCACCATCGCATTGTCGGTGTGAGACACTACAACGGTGGCTGCTGTACAATGCGCTCAATGACGATGTTGCTAAGAAATGCTTGAGTGTCGCTGCTGCAGCGGCGAATGATAGGCTAGCTTTGCTGCTACCGAAGATTTGTTTGGTTATGTGAGTTTTGATGGTCTTGATATGGGGAAATTTGGTCTCTATCTAGTGCCGAAAAATTTGGGATGAGTTTTGTTGGTTGCGTGCAATTGGTGGTGGTGGGTGTGTAGTGGTGGAGGTGGTACAGGCTGTGATGGTCACGATCCTGGTTGTGCTGTTTTTAGGCGGCGATAGTGGAACCGATTTTGGGCGACGATGGTTTTGGACGTGAAACCGTTGCTAGTGGTGGAAAATGTGTGGAAATCTAAACTTTTAGGTGTCGAAGTTTTTGGGGTAGTTAGTGGTGGTGTGCAAATGATCGCAATGTTTGTAGTTGTAATGGTGCTAGCAGTGGCGATGCTAGTGAAGTGGTGGTGGTGGTGGTGGTGGTGTTAATGGTGGTCGTTACAATGACTAATTATTTTGGATTTGATTTTTTAATGGTGTTTGGGTAGTGTTCCTTGTGATGTTGATTGCGGTGGTCAAGTGGTGTTGGTGGTCAGCGGTGATCGTGATGGTGATGGTGACGGTGACGATGGTAGTAGTGATAGTGCGGTGGTTGTGGTGGGATGGTGTGGGGTGTGGTGAAGGATTTTGTGACCAATTATTTGGTTGATTGTATCAATAATTTAGTTAATTTGTAATCAATAAATAATATGTGACTGATTATTTGAGATTGTGAACGATAAATTGGATATTTTGTGATCAATTAATAATATGTGACCAATAACTTGTAAGTCGTGACTTATAAAATTTGTGATTTGTGATCGATAAATAAATTTTGACTTATAACTTTTATGATTTGTGATCGATGAATAAATTGTGGCCAATAAACAACGTGTGACCTAAAAATTTAATAATTTGTGATCAATCATTTGTGACTAAAAATTAATTTGTGATTAATTAATTAGATATTTTGTAACCACAAAATATGTTGTGACTCCTCAAGGTGCTCATTCTGATGACTCATCACGGCATAACAGCGGTGGCAACTTTTCTTCGTGCGCGGTAGTAAATTGCTATGGCACACGGTGAAGATCCATTCTCCTTTTTTTGAGTGGTTCTGTGATAGACGATTCAATGTCGATTCTGTTGTGCGGTGGTCGTGATGGTGTGTTGGTTTTGCGATTGTGGTGATGGTGGAGGTGTACGATGCGGTGTGCAGTGGTTGGGTGCGATGACGCGGTGTTGTGGTGGTTGGGTACGATGGTGCTGTGTGTAGTGGTTGGGTGTGGTGCTATGTATGGTGGTTGGGTTGGGTGCGGTGGTGATGTGCATTGGTGGGTGCGGTACGGTGGTTGGGTTCGATGGTTGGGTAGGGTTGTGTGGTTGAGGTGCTGTGTGCGATGGTTGGGTTGGGTGCGGTGGTTGTATAGTGTGGTGGTGTACGATGCGATGTTTGCGTTAGGTGCTGTGGTCATGTGCTATGCTGGTGTGCGGTGCGGTGCGGTGGTGGTTGTAGGATTGCGTTGACTAGTGGTTGGATATGGTACTGTGTACGGTGGTGTTGGCGGCGTGGTCTAGGGATGGCAAAAAAACCCGACAAACTCGATACCCGTAGGACTCGAGCAGGGATTACCCTTGTATCGAGTATTCGGGTCGGGATGAGGCGGAGAATTTTGCTCAGGGGTGGGGACGGGTAACTGGTGCCCCGCCTCGTTTAATTTTTTTTTAGAATTCAATACTTTAAATGAGAAATTTCACGAAATTTTATTAGTTCTAATAGAAAATTGCAACTAAATTATTTGGTTGGATCTAATGAATGTGGGTAATAAAATAAATTATCAAAAATTTAAAAAAATAAAATTAAATGGGATAGTAAAAGGGACATAGGCCTTGCCCCACCTCGCCTTAAACGGGTAACGGGGCAGGGAATTGCTTGGCGGGGCGGGAGAGGTTGGCCCGACCCCGTCTTGCCCCATTGTCATCTCTAACATGGTGTTTGCTCTAGTCGATGTGTAGTGTGCAGTGGTGTTGACCGATTGTAGTGAGTTGATGGGGGTGGCTCTAGCGATGGTGTTTGACGACAATGTTGTGTGTGGTGCGGTGATGGTCACAAATTATTTGATTGATTGTGATCTATAAATTGATTAATTTGTTACCAATAAATAATATGTAATCAATTATTTGAGATTGTGATCAATAAATTAAATATTTTGTGACATATAAATAATATGTGAACGAACTTGTGACCAATAATAATATGTGACTTAAAAATTTATGTCTTGACTTATAACATTTGTCATTTGTGATTGATAAATAAATTGAGACTTATAGTTTTGTTTTATTTGTGATTGATGAATTGATTGTGATCTATAAAATTTTTGATTTGTGACCGTGAAATAATTTGTGATCTATAAATTTTTTTTATTTGTGATCAATTAATTCGATAATTTGTGACCAAATAGAACAGAATTGTGACATAAATATATTTAATTAATAAAATATATATTTAATTAATTATTTCATAAATAAAATATAATTAATATATGATTTTTGAAATTTCAAACATTGTTTCTTAATTTTGAAATGGACCATACCTAATCTCTTACATATGAAATTTTCCCTTTCAAATATATCGAATAGTTTTTAAATTCTGGAAATTGTACTTCAAAAATACCAAAAGAAGCTATGTCAAATTTACAATATTTTGCTTTTCAACCTTTCAAAATTATAATTAGTGCTTTGTTTCAAAAAAAAAAAACTTTCAGACAGGCCCCTACGTGCCCCAGAACTCAAAACTCACATGAATTGATGGCTTAGCTAGCACGTTATTTTCTAAAATTTAATTGAAATTTGTATATCAAGTTACGATCAAGTCAGTTTTGACAACAAAAAAAGGTTTTCAGTAAGAATGCATTAATTTTTATAATCCAATGTTGACAAGCAAGGTTAACCTGACAAGGTCGATTTCAAATTACGTGTTAATGTGATTGACAAGTTAAAAACATGACGTAAAATTTTAAAAGGAGCAAATGAAATTTTGTCTACTCTCATCAAATTAGAAGTGTAATAGACAATTTTGTTAATGGAAAAGTAAATTTGAAAATTATGTGTACATAAATAAATGACTTAAAAGTAAAATTAAGTTACTTCAATAAATGTAGGACGGCATGGTCCACTAACTATAATCTTGAAAATTCTTTTCTACCCATAAGTTTATTCAATGTTTTATGAATGCTCCCACCTAAGCTTTTGTGTATTTTAATGACAAACATCATAGGATATTTACGTTGGGCCCCACTTAATTATTTTTGACATATACATATACATATACACAAATACAAATGTGTATGTATTTTGCAATTTGCATGACCCAAATTGCACGCAACACTTTGTGCAACTTAATGCATGACAATGGACCTTCATATAACTTAATTAAAGATGGCAACTATGATTAAATGAAATTTAATACTAAAGAAAAAGAAGAGAGAAATACTAATAATCATACTTAGGGTTTATATAGTATGATTTTTGAAAAGTCAAAATTTTTCCCAGATTAAGAAACTAATTTTGAACATATTTAAATAATTTTATTAAAGTGTTTTGCTTTATCAGAAACAAAATTGGAAATCATACTGAACGGCCTTTAAATAGCAATTTCCTGCTTAAATAAACTTATTAAACATTTTTGAAACTAAACATTTGAAATTCATTGGTATAGTTACACTATAAATCATAATAAATGATATATTGAAAACATTTAATTGCATTGGGCCAATTGAAAACTAAATTTAAGATGCTAACATCACAAACTATAAAGCAATCTACAAATGAAGTGTTTTAAATAACAATAAACTATCTAGGCTTCCAAAATTCAAATGAACATTTATGGAAAATTCACTATTCATCCCCAACCTATAGCCCAAGTTTCAAGTTGGCCCCGACCTTTAAATATAGTTTCACAAGTTCTTAACCACATTAACTTTCTAAAATTTTGTTAAACTCTCACGTAACCAACTTAAGTTTCGTCTTGGCAAATTTATCCTAGAGATAGTAATAAGGCAGGTTAGGGATGGCAACGCCAAGGGTCGACCATTCCCACCCTCGTCCTTTTGAATATTTTTGTTACCTTGTTCCATTCCCATACCCGACTAAAGTGAGACGGAACGGTTTTGTGGTGGGATCAAGGTGGGATGGGACGGAGGCAGGGGACTTATCGCCCCATTTATTATTTATTTATTTTATTTTATTGTTTTTTTATATGCCTTTAATTAGTAAATATTATTATTTTTTTCTATTTTGTTAAAAATAATTTATGTTCTTTTTAAAAATGATGATACATCTATTATTTTTGTTTAATAATAAACTTAAATTTGAAATTAATTTTAAAGGGCGGTTAATGGGGTGGGTACTATGTTCCCCGCCCCATTTACTCGATTAAGCGGGTAATCCTGACCCCGCTCGAAGCAAATTCCACGGGTATTGGATTGAACGAGTTTTTTTGACATTCCTAAGGTGGGTGATTAGGACAGCTAATTAAGTTTCTGGCCATGGAGATTTTCGGAAGGTGCCGTTTGATTGTATATTGAAAGATCAAAGATTGACTTGCAAATTGAACAATGTGTTGGGGGCCAATGATGCAATATTCTATAACATCTATAATCAAGAAACCCTATTGGAATTTAATAATCGTTTGGTTGCAATATTTACTACAATTTGCCCATTTGCTACCATTCCTTCTTCAATACAATTCAATTGATTTCAATTCTCTCTACCTCTCACCATAATTTAATTAAGCTTTAAAGCAATCCCATCCTCCTCTTATATATAATGGCCTTAGAAGTCCAAAATCAACAACCTCAGCCTCTTCAACTAGTTTATGCTAGTGGTATTGCTGCAGCTAAAACGGGTGCAGGTCATCACCGCCGCATAGCCACCGCTCTCCACCACCCTCCTCCACCTAAAGAATTACGGGAGCCTTCTCATCTCAAGGTGTGTATGATCAGGCAGGCTTATTTAATAATTCTTTAAGGCTTTTACTTTGATGTCATATATATTTTTCCAATTTAGACAGGTGAAGAAAAGAAATTCTTGGAAACAAAAGCCATGAGTCGAAGGAACGGACCAAAACTTGACCTCAAGTTGAATTTGTCACCACCAAGGGTGAACCGGGCACGATTCGATTCTCCAGGTCGATCATCGACATCTCCACCGAGTTCCTGCGTGTCGTCTGAGCTGATCAATCCGGACGAGTCCCTCTTTTACTCGAACAGTCCAGAGGCTACATCCATGGTGCTGGTAGGGTGTCCTCGTTGTCTCATGTATGTCATGCTAGCAGAAGAGGACCCCAAATGCCCCAAATGCAAAAGCACTGTTTTGCTTGATATTATCCATCAGAAGAACACCACCTCCTCCAAGAAAACAAAGAAGGGTTAGCCATCGGCAGCCTTCAGATTTCAGCCAGTCCCCCTACCCAACCCCACCCCTCCCTTCTTTTTGTATTGCAAGTAGCACTATTGGGGCTCCATTTCCAGTATTATTAATGAGAATGGAAGAGTGGAGCTTGAATAGTGCTATCTTTATTTTCTTTTATGTTGTCTCTCTCAATTTCTGAACATAGGAAGTGGCATCCGTCTTTAGCAGAAAACTAAGTACATGGACAGACTACAACTGCCCAAATTTTCTTATCAGCAACATTTTCAGTGTCTTTTTGTATTAAACTGGTGTTTGCCTCCAATCACAGCATGCCACAACACCAAATCTACAGCCACTTAGGCACTTAGCTAAACTCTGCATGATGTTACAAGTAAGAAATGGAATAGGGGTTTTTCCCCCCTGCTTTTTGGACCCACAAAGTGGCAATGACCTCAAGCAAACTAGATATAGCTAATACAATGTTTTTCTATGGAAATTGATTCGTCACGGAATAAGAAACGATCTCTCCTACACATAAATGGCTGAAAATTTACGTTCTCGTGGTAAAATCTCAACAATTCCGAAGGTCGCTTAACATGAAGAGCCTCTAAAATATGCCTTGATATCATCAATAAAAAAGAATCTCGTAGAGAAATTTAGGGCCAGTCGGGAGGGCCTCTAACTCTCCTTCTACTTATTGTAAAATAGTTTCTTGAGAATATTACCTTAAATTAACTTCCTTTAAAAGTTTTTCAACATAAACAAAATACTATCAAAAAATTATTCAAACATATTTAGAATCAGTTTCTTATAGTCTCAAAAGTAGATTTTGACTTTTCAGAAACTCCGCGCCAAACGGACCCTTAATGTACTATAACCAAAATATATAATAAATAAATGTAGCCACAAGATGTACATGAATGTGAAGTTGTCGACTTATTATTAGGGGCAAGATGTTAGTTATGAATCAAGAAAGGGTAATTAGGTAAATGTACCAGGAAGTCGATTAAATTTAGGGTAGTTCGAAGCATTAATAAAAGAAGAGGACTGTATTAGATTGAGAGACCATTAAAACCAAATAAATGCAATAGTAATTGAGACAGTTGAGAATAATGAGGGCACTACGTCATATGATAAATACAAATTTAATTCACTTGCCATTTCCTTACTGTTTTTTCGATGTTGGTCATGATATTCGATAACCAACTTTAAAAACTTTCTGATTTTAAAACTTTAATTCTTAGTTAAGTTTCGTCCCCGCTGGTTACATTCCTAGCTCCCGTTATCAAATGCAATATTATCAAACTGGATTTGATACGATGAGAACCCCTTTGCTTTCTTTTAGCAACTTCTATTTGGACTTGCATACCTATGAGAGTTAACCAAGCAGGGGAGAAGTATTGAGAATTGGAAATCTTAATTTTACGATCAAGAGCAATAAAATCGTTAAAGTTCACCCATGGACAGAGCCAGACGTCATCCACCGTGGGGTCAAAAATGAAATTTTGGCGTCAAAAATGAAAATTCTGGGGTCAAAAAGTGAAAATTCTGGTTGTAAAAAAATAAAAATAAAAATTTGTGGGGTCAATTGACCCCACAAGACCCCATGTGGATCCGTCCATGAGTTCACCTCAATTTGAGACTACATTCTCTTTTGTCGCTGCAATAATTTATTATGATAAAAAAATTTACAAGATAAAATTGCACATTATATCTTCTTTAATCTCTCTCTTTTTTCTGATGATAATACAAAACATTAATGATAGCTCCCTATTCATATGACAAAATCGAAATTACAATGTGAAATTCCCAAACTATCCTTAAATGAAATTTTTTTTCTGCGTGTTGACTTTGCACAACGACAATAATTAGATTTCACAACTTAACAAAAATAATCTCCACGTCTCACAGATGATCTGATGATTGCTTAGGGTGGATTGCTCGTTGCTTATGTGATGCCTCATTAGAACGACATCAATATCTACGGCAGCCTTCTTCGAGACCTAGAAGCAAGCTTCTCCAGCCCTAATTAGGGATCAATAACCTGTTAGTCGACCATTTGAACCCAACTGATCTTCCCGTTCTCGCTGAGTATCTCCTCTGCTGTTGTTCCTGGTAAAGACCACCCCTGGAAAATTTATGCAGGGCTTTGACCTGAATTTTAATCAAATAAATTCTATAAGCCAATGCAGTTGCTGCAATTATGTTTCAATTGAGAATGAATAGTGTAATTTACCATTAATTTTATTCAATTGAATTATGATCAGATTATTCAGAAGTAAAATGTAAATATTTGGCAAACAAATTGGGAATTACGGAGGGAAACCAAGTTAGTCGTCTTCCTTCTTGATTCCATCCTTGTCGATTGTACACTTCGACCCCACAACCCCTACTCGACTTCATTAGATTTTGCTCTTCAAAAAGCAATCACAAATTGATCACTCTCATGCCTTTGCTTTTCAAACAAATGGCAAGGAGTCACACATAAGATATATGGTCACAGACTATTCCAATATGACTCGAATTACACTTTTAGTTCACCTGGTAAATGATACTAATGAAAATAAGTCATAATTTAAGAGATCGTACATTTATTTTTCTTGTTCTATATTTCGTGACATTCATTTTGTGGTTAGATGAATAATTTGGAAAAGTTTTATGGTCTTGAGGAATGCAGATTACTCACTAGGAGAGTGCATTTTTTGTAGCTTTCTCTTAACTATATTTTTCATTAGCAAGAAATTTCTTCGGACTGTAAATTTTACTAATTAACTGTAATTTTTCTTTTATTTTCTTCAAATATTTAGGCACCCTCTCTCGGCAAATAATGGCAATTATTAATTTATTACTATTATCTACATGCCTTTTCTGACTTCTCTCCCACTTTTTAAAGTCGCAATCTCGTGTTAATATCCTTCAGTTTCTCGACTCCATCTTCTCCAAATCTGTCTCTCCGATCGAAGACATCCCCACTCCAAAAAACCCAGCCCACAGAACTTGACCATGACACTAGGCTCGGGAGGATCCAGTGTCGTTGGTCAGTGGTCTTCTCTGTCTCTGTAAAGAAAAAAATTTTATTTTGTTTTATCTTTTGTTGTTGTTTCTTGATTTTCTTATTCATCATCGCTATGTGGTGAACCTGATATGGTCTCTGTAACAAAGATATTTTAGTTTATTTATATCTTGTTCTCTTTTATTGACTTTCTTCTTTATCATCGCTTTCGAGTGCATCTGATTATGGTTGGTTTTAGTTCAAGTTTTGTTTGAAAGATTGTTTTTTTTTTCTTCAGCTGTTTATTGTTGGATACTTATAATGATCTGTTCCTGTTTAGGTTGATTATCTTTTAGTGGGATTCCAGTCTTAGTTTTCACTTGGAAAATATGTATGCTATTTTGCAATGTATTTTGGTCATTTCTTGATGAAATTGAAATCTGGTTCTGAGCAGTGGCTGTGTTTTGTGTTATGCATTATTAATTACTAGGAATTTTATGCTTTTGCCACTTCTTGAAAATACAAGTATTGGAGTTTTAAGTACATAATTTGATCATTAACTTGTACCGGTTTAATGGATATCCCAAGGATGTAATATTTGAACTACTTACTATTCATTTAGGTGCTATTTGTTTAGTTGATGTAGACTTAAATGAGTTGAATTGAGTGCACCGTTATTAACTGTCTAATTAGACTATAGAGTTGGCCTTGTATTGAGGGGAGTAAGCTGTATGGTTGCTGCATTTTTGGTTTTTAAAAGCAATCAAAAGTTCAGCAGGGGGAAGCATCATCGCCATTTCTTATTCTCCTATAGTATTGAGAAATAATATTTATGACAGGTCTCTTTCTGCATCAATACAAAGCGATGTAAAGATTTGATAAGATTACAAGTGGAAGAGTTGAGCATATGGTCAGACTGCCGAAACAAGAGCTTTTCTTTGCAGTTTTCTTTTTATTCTTGCTCATGAAGAATATATTTAGAATTACCCATATGGAGTAGCATACAGGATTGACTAGCACAGTGTTATTTTGTTTCATATTTGTTCATTCCGTTTTATCTGTCAAGGTGCTTTTACCTATTGATGCTTCATAAGCAATCTCATTAAGCCAAGGAATTTGTTATCTAGAACTTTGTTGATTAAATTTTGGGCAAAATACACGTCACTATTTACATCGCATTGATTGAAGTCGTCTTCCAACATCAATGTACTTGTTCCGTATTTTTGTTTGGCATCTAATAGGTTGTTATTGGCTTTCTAAGTGAATCCCAAAATAACACATTTCATTGAAGGGACTATTCATATTTTTTTCCTACCTTTCTAGTAGACTAGTATAAATGGGCAACTTTAACTCTCAATTTACCTACATTCAATGAAAGATATCACGACTCACATTATGTTTATATTATGCTACCGAGTCAAAGTTTTGAAACCATAAAAAATTCATATTTTTTACTACCTTCTTTAAACCTGTGCTGCGCTAACCAAGACATTTAGTATGAGCCATAAAGTATTTTTGCAAGACGTGATAATATTTTTCTAAGGTTGATTTCAGACCTCTCTCTCTCTCTCTCTGATTCTTCTCTTTCTTCTGCATATATTGGATTGGATCAATCAACGTATGAATTTTTATGTAGACTTTGATAATCTATTTCGAAATTATTTGGTTTTATGCATAATGTATCTAAATGGCTTCATTTATTGCCTCAGACTAGAGAAGCTGTCGGGATATATATGGAATAAACAGGCAGAGAATGAACTTCTGTTTTATTTGTTCTCTGGCTTTTACTTTTTATGGGAGCTATTTCCTACTAGGGAAATAGAGTAAGGGCTAATATTTATATTTCGATTAGGGGCGATGGTCCTTGTATATAAGTTGAGATGGACTTGTGCATATCCATATGAAATAAAAAAAATTTAGAATCTCAAATTTATTAGTTTTCTTGCAGTTCCTCGAAATTTCAGATTGCTGGAGGAACTTGAGCGTGGAGAAAAGGGAATTGGAGATGGTACAGTAAGTTATGGAATGGATGACGCAGATGACATTTACATGCGATCCTGGACAGGGACTATTATAGGTCCTCACAACGTCAGTATCTTCCCCTCTCTTTAATTTGCTTAGTTGCTTAATTTGACATCCAATCGTTTGAAGAATCAATTCTATGGATAGGCCTGTAGAAATTAACTCCATGTTACTTAGAGATAAATATTTTATTTGTAATATTACCCCCCTTATTTGATGCACTACACATTAGATCTTCAGGATACGGTTTTTACTAGGAAAGATGTTGAAAGTCATTTTTAAATGGATAATTATAATCAATATATGATTCTGCCTCTTCTGCTTCCTGCGCTCAACAAATGTGCCTTTTCCCCCTCTCCCTTTGTGCTTCATTTAACTTTGAGGCTTTAAGCCTTTTTTTTTTTGTCATATTTACTTTTAATTGATTTCAATCACATACTTGGAATCCTAATTGGATTTAAATATAAGTTCTTTGTACTTTCTTTTCCTTCGGGAGGTTTTGGCTTTGTACCTCCCTCTTTTGTTTGTAATTTTCTTTTGTTATTAATTAAACAATATATTTTGATTTCAAAAAAATGTGCCTTTTCCCCCTCCCTTGAATGTGGAGTAAAAATGCAGTATTGCTCCGAAGGGTGTGTTTGATGGATATTTTTGAAGAAATAATGTATTTTAAATAGTGATATGATGGGAAACATGTGATTAAAAAGTAAGGAGAAGTTATTGATGTGATGGAAAATATTATTTTATTGAAGAATGTGTGGTTGAAAAAGAGTTTTGAAAGAATGTGTGTCAAACATGGGCTAAGAATCATTTTTTATTTTATGCAATAATTTAACTTAATTGTGTTAATGTGGGGGTATTGCATCATCTAATGGTAATCCAATAAGCTTATCTTTTAATATTTCAGCAGTTTTATTTATTGGCATTTCACTGTAACTCGTTATTGAAAATGGCTAAAATGTCTTTTTTCCCCTCAGTCTGTACATGAAGGTCGCATATATCAGTTGAAGTTATTCTGTGACAAAGATTATCCAGAGAAGCCACCAAGTGTTCGTTTCCATTCTCGGATTAACATGGCCTGCGTCAACCATGAAACTGGAGTGGTACGAAGACGTTTATCAAATCTTAAAGTTCATACTATGTTCTTTTTTGTTTAACATCTGGAATTACTACATTCCCAGATGTCGGATGGGTAAAATAGACCTAATACTTTACACATGCATCCTAAAGACACAGATCAAACTAAAGTCGATAGTCAAAGACATCTTTTTGTTCATCTATTACTTTGTTGTTCCATTGCTGGACAGACAAATGAAAGACAAGTGTCGAAACATGTACAATTCGAAGGATTGACGATCTTTTTTTTTACTTGGTACAGGTGGAACCCAAGAAGTTTGGACTTCTATCGAATTGGCAGCGAGAGTACACGATGGAAGACATATTGTCGCAACTGAAGAAAGAGATGGCTACCCCACAAAATCGTAAGCTCGTCCAGCCTCCCGAAGGAACCTATTTCTAGTTTAAAGATATTTTGGTCTTCTTGACCATATGCAGGAGTTAAAATGTGATGCTGTAACGTCCCAAAAATGTTTTGTGTCGACTCTGGTGGCCTCCTGAAATGTTTGTATGCTGTAGTACTCCATCGTGGACTGTATTGTTGGTTTATGTTTGATTAAAGGGATTTCTTTTCTTGTGTGTTAATTGTTGAATCCTTTAATTAGTAATCAAGTTCTTGGACTCTATGAATAAATTAGCTTGACTAGAAATGGCCTTTAGAGTCTGTTTGAGCCACCATTTTTTTTTCTTAAGAATGCATTTTGAAACTGTAGATTAATGGAGAATGTGTGGTTGAAAAGTAAATAAAAGTTTTGTGTTTGCGTGTAATATTAATTTATTGAAGAATATGTGGTTGAAAAGAATAGAGAGGAAAATGAATTATTTTATAAATAATGGAGATCAAACAATGGCTTAGCCTATATTTAGCTCAAGTTTGTAAATTTTATAAACGCATTTTAAGATATTGTGTTAATACTTTTGGTTACTAAAACGAGACTTAGCCATATATAAACTAAGAACATGAACAAAAGGTTTATGTGGGAACTCAAAATTGGAAAAAACTATCGACAGATTAAAAGAAAATTTACTATATCAAAGATGAGTACAGGATGTGCGACTACTCCGAATATATATAATACGGTGAAACTCTAACATATAGTGGAGTTCTAATAGAACATGCTTAACATATAATTGAGTTCTAATAGAACAGGTCCATACTCTCTCGATTAATCATTTCGCTACTATTACAAACCCTTATTTTTTTCCCCCTATAATTTTAGTTTCACCACCAATGTCACACCGCAAACTTTTCAAATCGAGTAAAACAGGAATAGAGTTACCGTACTCTAATAGATCTCCACCTTGACATGAATTCCAATGTAAAGAATAAATTTTCAATTTTCAAAAATAACTCTTCACCTCTTTCACAAAAACCCTTAAGGGCAAATTCAACAAGAAGTACCAACCAAATCCAAGTGATTGTCAAAATTTTCAAACCAAGCCAAACATAATTCAAGTCATCGCACACAATACTTTTAAGTCTACTATTTTAACGTGCAAACAACATTATGTTGTCTTCCTTGTACTCTTTCAAGATCGTGAAAATATTAAAGAAATAAATCTAAAATCAAAGAGGCTTAATAGCACAAAACATCCATACGTTTGACACTTCTTGTGGAAAACGTCCTTAAATTTTATTTCTTTTGCATTTTCATCCTTATTTCAACGTTTCATTGTGGAAAATATCATTTTTCACCATTTTAACGTAAAATGACCAATATACCCTTCTATTTAAATAAAACGAAAAAAGAGAAGAAAAATAAAGAACAAATTGCAATCTTACTCCTAAACTTTTTTAAAAGTGCAAATGAGTCCAAATAAATTATTAAAATATTAAAAATAACCAAAAATAAAAATAAAAATTGTTTCTCTCTCAAAAACTTGTTGCGTTTTTTATATCGGAAGTGTATAATATCGTAACAAGTAATATAGTGTATCTTTGAGTTCAGATTATCGTTCCCACGAGAACTATACTTTAGGTATTAATTAGATTTTTCTAACTTTTATTTGACAAAAAACAAGTAAATAATTATGATGATTTTGACTAATTACTTTTAGCAAATTGAAAGTATAAAAAATTGTAAACAATGGATAATTGTAGAGACAGATATGAGATAAATATTAGGGCATAACAATTTCATCTATTGATCATCTTTATTCTTAATTCAAGATTCACAATCTAATGTAGTGTTCGATCGAATTCT